CATGCCCACAGTATGTCCTACCTCAATCCAAAAAATATTGTTTAATTTTGGATTTAAGCATGCTGGTAAACTAACCCAAATATTTCAAATACTGAGGCAAGTAATGAGGATATTTTAAATAGTGTGCAGAGTAGGTGCCTATTCAAGTTCAAGTAAAATCTCTAAATCTCTTCTTTCTCTGAATTGCTCAGCCAATAAAGGATGTTCTTAGAAGAGAAATAGGATATAGGCTTTTTTAGCATTTGAAGTACTTTTGCTCCCAAATCATTTTATAAAGGAGCTATTCAATGAAAGTAAGTTTTGATTCTATGTTTCATATTGCAGTACTGCACATAATTGTGTGTTCAATAACTTGTCATAATACAAAATTACCAAAACTAATAAATGATTCATAGTTCTAAAAATATCCTGTTATAGATTAAATTTAGTGGAGAGAATAAGCTTTATTTGCATTTAAAGTTAGAACAATGTTGATGGTATTTGATGTTTCCTAACATGTAGAAATTTCTTGTTCCATTCTTTGTCAAATAATAATCCTCTTAGTCAATAAAAAGAGGGCTGCCATGTCAGTTTAAAACTTGAGACACAAAACTCCCCTTGGTATCACTTCCCAGAGTGATTCCAAAATTAAAATGCACTAAGTCAGATATACCCAGCCACATAATAGCATAGATGTAAAGGTCTACATAAACAGAGGAAGACCCTGGAAACATCCCCCAAAGCCTTCTGTCCACCCTATTCTGCAGGCATGATTGACTGTGTCATGTTTATTGTTAGCCCATCTGGACAACAGGTGCAGTACATAATGGCCACAGTGTACTTGACTATTGACTAGTGAATATTTCTGCACATCACAATAGGCCACAGAATGACCCTCACTAACAGACAGACTTCCTACCAATTTCTACATTCAAAATCTCTCCAAACAAAAGGAAAGAGGTTTTACTCTATCTGGAAGTTTGGTATAGAGCTTAAACACACAACCCACATTCATCAAATACTTTGTTTGCCAGGCTTGTACAGAGTAAATTTAAGGAATTTAAAAAAAAAAAAAAAAGTGTATGAATTTCAAGCTTGGGGACCTCTAATTACTTCCTTCTTAAAATTTAACTATAAAACATAGATAAATTGCTGCACTAAAACCACAGAAGATCCTCCACATGATCTGTGCCAATGTATCTAAAGCTCAGTGAAGCTGATCCCAGAGAGACTTTTCCACTTAGTCCTCAGAGAATTAATTTTGGACCCGTTTCTAATGAGTATATAAAGGATTACTTGGATATTTTGGTAAACCTACCCAATAAATTAGTCAATCTCAAATTTTATTACCCACAAAGCATTACAGTGGTCATATAGCTGAAGAACACTGAGGGAATTGAAGGCATATTAGTCATTTATTTAGGCAGATATCAGAGATCAGTACTCAGTACAGGATGTTAGTTGTAACATTAAGCTAATTGGCTAATAGTTGCAGAAGTCCTTAAACAGTTTTTATACTGAGAGGTGTGACCCCTTCTTGAACCAATTTATGTAAACCCAGGGGGAGTCCTAAATTTATTCCAGTTTCATGAATGCATGGTCTGGATTAAGAAACCAAAAGCAAGAAGAATATGCATAAAACCAACCGTGTAAACCAAACACCCAAAATTTACATGCTGTCAGCTTGAAAACTTTCCGTCTAACAAATTACTTGAGATAATAAATGTTTAAAATAAATTTAACAATTTGGTATTAAAAACATTCATATTTCATCCAGTGCATGATTTAGGCTGTAGGTTTTTTCTTGTCAACCCTACCTTTGGCTATTTATCTAGTTGCAAACTTTTATAGATGTGAAATATTTTAAGAAGACCTTTGGAAATGGCCTGAGGTAATTTCAAACTTAACAGACCCTGTCCCACCAGAGCTCATTATAGTGCATTTTATAACAAAGTACCCTCTACTTAATTTTCAGAGCTTAGCCAAGCGTATTAGAAATGCAGCTGCATTAAGTACAATTAATGGTATAATAAAAGCAGTGGAGGGCTGTTTAAGACCCAAGAACCAGCATTAAACAGGGCATCCATGTTCTCCAACAGTCAGTAATGTGTCGAAGTTCCAGAAGTGTGATATTGCCACAGCTAGAGAAGGAAAAAAAAATGAAACAGCATATGCTTTTGGGAAAAAAAAAAAAAAATCTTGTCCTTCAACAATCCCAAAAGGTAATCTAAAAGAGGATTAAGAAAATATTCCCTCCAGTTATGCCACTAGCATCCCCCTCACTCTTTGAGCAGGAGTCTAAAACAATACATTCATATTCCCACCAGTTAAAAAACCCAAGCAAATTCAATTCCAGAAAAAGTGAGAATAATAGTGATACATATAATACACAGCATGATCTAGTTTCTCAACTAAGTTTTCTTTCAAATGACAGAAAGGAAAAAGTATAAAAATATTTAATTTAAAATAAAACAAGTCACATCACAACTGGACTGTTGATTATAAAAGCTCTGCAACTGTTAAGTATGCCGTTATCTTGATAACTAAATTGTCATTCCTTTATCATTCCTGGAATTAAGTTAATTTTTATTTGAAACTAAAGAAGAAACATTATGTTAAAGAAGACAACCAACTTCTCCTGAGTAATTTCTGATAGAAGTCAACTGACCTCTCATGAAGAAACTAGTAACTATTTTTTTCTATATGGGACTAATATCTTTTTTGTTTGTTTCTGCTCTTGAACCTTATTTTTGTGTATTTAACTCAATTATTTATTTTGGCAGAAAAGATCAGTTAATTCCTGTCAGTGGGCCTTCTGATTCACAGACAGTAAGTGGCTTAAAACCTGGCTTTATGGCAGAATTTGAAAGCACAAAAGCCTTTGGTTATGCATGGTCTGCAGATATAGTAATTAATTTCATACACACTGAATATAAAAAAAAATCCTTTCATGAGTGCTGAAGGTGGAAAAAAAGTTATGATTTTGTGCTCTGCACAAGAATAACAGATTTCTAAACTGTGAAATAAAAACAATTTCCAATTCTCAGTGCATAAGTACTGTAAATACAAAACCAGTAAGAAAACCCTCCGAATTTCAATGTAACTTCTCCCAATAATGGATAAATGAAGTAGACCAGATATTGTTTTACACTTCCCTTTTCTAGTAAAAAATATATGCTAACCATATATTGCTTATCTTTAAAGTTGATTTCAGGTGTTAAGGGGCAGAAATAACAAAAAACCAAAAGATCTCCTACACCAGTTATTTGTGGACTAGACTGTTGGAAATTTCCAAGTCAACTCTGACTGAAAACCCTATATATGGACTTGGAAATAATCAATAGTGTGTAGACAGATAAAATCTACTTCGACAGTAGCTCTCATTACTCTCAGAAATACGTAGGAAAAATAAAACACACACACTTTTCCTGCTTACAAAGCATATGAATACATCTATTCCTGATGTTCCAGTTATCCAGTGCTGTATTCTGAGTTGTGGAAACATTTCAATAATATCATTGAGCGTTCTCTCTTTCCTCTCCTCCCTGTTTGCTGAACTTCACACATAGGGGCTGTTCCTCCACCAAGACTGTTTCGCTGCTGACTTCTGATCTTTTTATGCACAGCATTCTGCTGCCTCTATCATTCTTTACAGTAACATAATTCTACAACCATCACTTCAGTATCACAAGAAAGCAACTTCATTTATACAGGCTTAAGTAGATTGCAGAGAATAGATGATCACATTATTTCAGAGGATTATTCAATTGACACTCAAATTTCCTACTACTCTCTATGATCACACAGTACAGAAAGTATCTTTTTTATCCTATGATATAATTCTGAAAAAATGTTAGCTACTGCTCAGTAAAACACTATAATTACTGCTGAAATAACCACAGTGGTGTGGACTGTGTTGACAAAATAATAAGAATAAAGCCTAGGAAATGTAAGTATTAGTGTTCAAAATTTATATAAAGACTAATAACTAAAACTGAAACAATGGGACTAGAAATGTATCTAAGGTAAGGAGTTACAACCTCTGCCATTAAATCAAGTAATGATGATTTGTCTAAAGTTACATTAAACACATCACATCTTCTGTTACTAGAAAGTAATAACAACAAATAGAAGTGATTCTCTGAGAAATTATTTAGTGTTAGCAAACTCATGAAGAAAATTCAAAAATACGAAGAAAGAAATCTCTCCATAATCTCACTTTAGATTGGAGATGTCATGGTGCACTAAGGAAATCAAAATAGCTCTCAAGGTGTAGAATTTGAAGAGCAATATAGCTATTGACAACCACAACCTTGAAAGTTAGTGGGAAGGCCAGATAACTCAGTTTCCCTCTGGAAACCAGAGCACTAGTGGGTAGAATAATAGAACAATTTACCAAGAGAGAATAAACAGGCATTTAAAGATACACAACATGAAAGATGGAACTGCAATTATTTTCTGAGAAGAAAGGGAAACATTTTTTAAGTAAGACAGCAAGGATTCCTACTACAATATTCATAAGCTGAAGGAAACTAGATGTTGGAAGAAACCAGGAACTGGTGACATGGTAGAAACCTTTTACACCAAGCTGGACTTGGAGTTAAGCTTGCATTTCTACATGAAAACTTTGACACAAATTGGTGGTCTCAGACCAACTCTCAGTAGACGAGCATATATCAACTGCAGGGTGCTCTACACTGATTCCTGTCGCAAGGCAAGGAAAATTGATCAGTCTTAGGAGCCAAACTCTGAAACCTACTGATACTTCATTGCAAGTTTTGAACAGCTCTCTGAAACAATGAAGAAAAGAGCTTTTTAGCACTGTCTGTTCTGATTCTACACCTTTTTTCCCTTGTAAATGGTAGCTAGCTGTGAGGAGCAGTTTATAGTTTATCATGTTGTAAGAAGTAAAACAAAATAGCCTGGAATAAGATGAAAATGTTTTCAGACTGGCTGAATGAAAAGCTGTCAGGGGGCTAACAAGTATGATGAAAAATCTAAGTCAGTAGGTGTGTATTTACCAGAAGCTGAATGTGGTCTCTCCATCTCTTCTTTCTTGTCTTTATCTCCTCCCCATTAAGACTGTTTTGCAAAGTTTATGTGTGCCTGGTCATGGCTGGGGAAGTGAATACAAACTTCACTGAAATGTCAAATGATTTATGTAAATTTACACATAAACTCACAAACACACAATCCTCCCCCAGAAAAACAAATAAAAATAGAAATTGGTACAACCAAACCCCAGAAACAAACAGCCAAACAAACAACAAACCCTACACAAACATGGATGCCAAATCACTTGAGAAACTTATTCAGGGAAGATATGGATTTGATGACCATGTCAGGTACTACACTAACAGCAGAAATCTTATTTATCCAGTATCAATGCAAAATAAATGTTGGCAGAGAAACAAAAATTTCAGGGTTGAAACTAAAAAGAAAAGAATTAGAATGAATGAAAATATGTTCCAGGCTTAAGATGGATAATATCATCTCTAATGATCTCAATATGCTTAATACAATGATGAGCACAACACCGAGCACTGGGAACCAGGTCATGGCAAAGAATAAAAAAAAAATGTATTAATCGCAATCTCCAAAGGCAGGCCATAAAAGCCATATCACACACACTGAAAAATAATTCATTAAACTATATCCCAGCTGGAAGTAGTGAAAAACAAACAGAATAAAAAGACACTAAGCAGCAGGGAGAAATAAACTTTATGGAACTGTCAAAGCATGAACAATAGGAGGGAGAAAAGAGAAGGAGACAATAAATGTGTCTGGTTTATTGGTAAAATAGCCACATTAGGACAGACATGAGAATTAAATTTAAAACAAAACCTGAGAATGCCAAGGCTGAAGTATCAAAATTATCCTACTGCAGTTCAGGACATCCAGTACTTGTAAATTGTGGCTTGGCAGTATCTCACAATGAGAGAAACATCACTAAATGCTAATCACTCATGGAACATTAGACACCTCTCTTATGTAGCCCAAGATGAAGTGAAAGTGAAAATGTCCACATTTCAGGATTGATTGATAAAGCAAAAGTATGCATAGCCCCTATATGGGAAAGAGAACACTTTCTCAGCTAGCTTGTCTTTAGGTCTGATTTAGTGATGAAAAGCAGTACTTTGCATAAACATTTCTAACAGCCCTTTTGTAATGTTACCTCTTTCTATTTTTTTTAGTTTTGAGGAACAGATGGGTGAAGGCAACACTAGTAATGCATTCCATTGTATAATAGAATTAAAAATAAGGAGGAAGACCACAAAATGTATTCTGTTTAAAGAAATTAATACCAGCCACTTTGAGTCTTTGCTAGGAAAGTTTAAATAAATGTTTTCACCACTTTTGGCCTTGTCAGTTTTTTGCACCCCAAAAGTGTGTGATTTTCAATGGTGTTTGTCAGCCACAGATTTTACAGGCTTCATCTGGAGCTGTGTTTTATCAGAACAGATGAAAATGTGGCCCAAAGTATACGGGCAAAGAGGCATCCAATGCCACTGGCAACTTTTGAAAATTTCAGCCTATCCATCTACCAGGTTCTGCTGCAACTGATCATCTTTATAAGCAGAGATGCCAGTATGTACATATGTATGTACATATAAGCAATCTACAAATGGTAGTGCACTGTAAATGTATATTATGTCAATCTTTCCATTTGATCCTCAGTTAATTAATTTTTTTTATATGCACTGAATACCACAGAAGGATGAAGAATTTTTCAGATGAGCCAGACGGATTATAGGTGCCTAGCTTTCAGTAAAATACAGAGGAAGCTGAGGCCCCAGATTGCTTTGGATTCTTTCATGTCACTGTTGCAAAGTATTAAATCCATTATATTTGAACATAATTCATCCACCAGTCATTGACATATGACAAAACAGACCTTAAACTATGAATTACTGACTTTACTGAATGAAAGCATGTTTTTTCAATTAAAAAAAATGCTGTCTATCCCGGATACAGTTTTATGAAGACTCAGTAAGGATCCACAGTAAATGTTCTCACATAAGACATTAAGCATCTGCAAATGCCAAAGTCTTGGATGGTAATTCTTTCTCTCTCTCTTTTTCCCCTTTGACACCCTGAATCCCTACTCCATGCTATGGACTAAAACCCTGGAAATTATATCTTTGTAAAGCAAAACTATTTTTCAGCTAGAGGAATGAATAAAATTATATTTGACACATAAAAATTTCTTTCCTCTACCCTCCTTTTTATAACTGAAAGAGAGCCAAACTAATTTAAACCAAATCTGATTTTAAAATCCTGCTGAGCTGAGACTTTTAAATACCAAGTTTCAGCCTGGAGTGAATTTTTATGGCTGTGTTATAAACACCTGAAACACAGCAGGTGCCATAGAAATATATACAGTTTGTGTTTTTATATTATTTCCTTAGTTCCAAAGTAGGTTCTAGTCAAAGCGAGGATTTTCCTAATTTTAACTTGTTATGGTTATTACAGTTCAAACAAAAAGGCTTACAAACCAGAAGTAATTTGGAGTGAACACACACATACATACTCTATAGTTTACAAAATTATCTAATTGATACATTTACCATTTGGCTAAAATATAGAAAACTTCTGTAGGAAATTCTATTGATAGTGATCAGAAAATGAAACCCCTGCCAGAGAAAGTTGGTTATAGCATCTCTCAATAGTGTGCTTGTAGTACTTTAATGCACTCTCTTAGAGCCCTCAGTTCCATAATGACTTCAAGATTCCATCAAGCTCTTTTAAAAGAATAAGTACTCATTCAAAAAGTGATAAAGATGCTTGTATTCTTTAGTTAAACATATGTGTTCTTAATCTTTCAGGCTCAAGAGTGTAACTGTTTGGAAGTACTCAAGAAAATGAATCCACATCAAGTAACTGTGAGAATGCAGAGTGAATTTGTCACGTTGCATTAAACTCTGCTGTCCGGACAATCTCATTCAGATGTAAAATACTTTTGATCCCTTTATATCTAATACATCTAGAAAGAAAAATTAATTTTTAAAAGTAATAAATAAAAATTATTAATCCTGAGCAAAGGTTCACTGTATGAATTAGTGCCTTTAGACTAAAGCAAATAAGAACTTCACTTACTGTTTGGTAGCTTAAACATACACAATCACTGCAAACCAGAACAGTTTCTCCTTAAATAAAAGGCAGTCCTAATTACATGACATTTACCAGGGGAAAAAGCACACACCTGGACTTTTCCTGTGAGTCACTTCATGTTATAGAAATTTACATCCTCCTTTATTTAACTTCTTTGCACCTGCCCATAACCCAGTACACTTTACTACTACATTTTATACTGAATTCTGCTGTATCTTCCTGACTGAATTGAGAAATTCTATGACTGGATTTTAAACAAACAAAAGTCTATCTTTTTATTGAAACCAACATTGATTTTGAGGCCTGATTTTTAAAAAGTTCGCACATGGTTTTCCACTCACAACTTTCAGTTACAGATGTAGACACTGTTCAAATGATTGTTACTGCATTTAAAAATATTTGCATGAAAACTTGCACATGCAAGTGAAATAACTCTGTATTCAATTTTTGCATAAATTGGTCTAAGTGGCCATCTTTGGGTTCCAGCCTGTGAAAACCTGTAAGCACAAACTTTTCTTGAAATGAAGCAGGCTAAGTTAGATGGAACTACTTAGGAATTTACAACTGGAACACATGTTTCAGTGGCATAGTGATTAATACATTAGTAAAATTTCAATATATTTTAAATTAATTTAAGAGCATATTCAGAACAGTATTTGGGACATTTTAATCCAAGAGTCTTGATCCCCAAGAGCTCTGTTAGCTGCCACTGGAAATATCCACATACCTTATTTTTTGCCTTTCCATGTTTCCACATCACCAGTGCAGCTCAGTGCCCATTTCACACAAAGCCCATGGCTGCCTGCTAGAAGTGACACACTCAGGTTATGCCTTCTGGATTAAGTACTGGCAATAAGTGTCAGCTGGCTTCCTTTTTGTAAATAAAAAAAATATTGGAAAAACTACTGCCAAAATGATTACTTAATAACCTATATAAGCAGTCCTCAGAGGCAAGAATGAAATCATGGTTCCTTCTAGCAGATCATCAAAATTACCAGAGGGCCGGGTTCATGACAGAAAATATCCCTTCAAATCTAAGGTCAGTCTGTAGGCTAGGGAAAGGGGGGAGGACGGAGTCTTCCAGTAAGGGAAATAAACTTCAGTCTTGCCAATGAGAGAGTGGGACCCATCTCCAGCCTCCCAGTAAACAAACCAATCAGTAGCTGGAAGAGGCCTGGGGAGACGCTGCTCATTCTTCCTCAAGCAGTTTGTTCTACAAAGGGACATGAAAAAAACTTTCCAAAGCTTCACTTTGGAGCATGGTTTCTGTCAGAAGAGGGCAGTAGGCTCTGCAGGAGAAGTTGTGTGGCCATACTATGTGACTGCTGCCTCCAATGCTTCCTTCAGGTCCAGCATCACCCGATCCACCCGCCGCCAGGACACCATTTGAGAGGCTGGATCTGCAGCAGGAGAAGCCCAGGCTAACATGGTTTCTGAGGTTGTTGCCTTCACCCATACAAATGACAGCTGAGACACTTGCCTGGCTGCACCTGCACTCCCACACTTCACAGTCTGCTATTTAAAAATAAACATGCAAAATTTATCTTCTGAAAGAGGCAGGCCAGAAACTGCAGCTTTATGCAGGATGTGCTCAGCTGTGTATCCACCAAGAGAAGAATGAACTGTTGGGAAGCCATGCCTTCACACAGAGAGGGGAGTTAGCATCTAACTAATGTAACATGAGCCAGACCCTCATCTACAGATAAACACCATCTCCTGGAAAAAACAACATCGGCACGAGCACCAGCATTATCGTAGCTGTTCAGGCAAATCCAGCTAGGTCGCATAATAAACATGTTAATACAGAAAGAGAGGTAGCCTACACAAAATGGATAGGTTAATAAAGTCCTTCTTATTACCTTTCTCTCCCTGAGTTTGCCTTTGATGTGCCATGGGAAGGCTGAAGAGAGTGATTGCCATTGGGGATTTTGAGAAAAAGTAGCCTCCGGCTTAATACAAAGCCTAAAGATTAGGGTAGAAGTGCGTAGACTAGGAGAATCTGCTAGCTAAACATTATCACATGTTCATTTTAATTTAAAATATGCAATTTCTTTCTTATTAATTCCATTTCCTTCAAGAACATGCATAGGTTACCAGATGCAGACATTGATGCACTAATATTAAGGGAAGAATAAGCACAGAAATCTCTTATCAATGAGATTGCTATTTGAAAGAACACAAAGATACTTCAGAATATAATAAAATCATTAGTACACACAATATTATGGGCTTTGACAAATGGTAAATTTTAAGTATTCCTCCAGAGATACAATTTGTCAGCTCAAAACCATCATTAGTCAGAATCATTCAGTTCTTATAAGGCTTAAGGGCTCCTTGCTGGTTCCTTAAACATGCATTTGCTTTCACGTATTCACCTAAGGCATTTGGAAAGAGTTACCTATAAAGCACTGTGCAATACCTGAGCACTAACAGAATGCTTGCCAAACAGAAGTGGGTTTAAGCATTCAATACTCTGCTGTACCAGGACTCTGAGGCTGCTCGGGGTTGGTGGTATGGTGAATCCAGGTCTATCAGTTCTATCAACACACTGCAGCTACATGACAGAAAGAACTACATTAGTACAGACTTCCCTCTGCAGAGTCACCTCTGTTGACAAATCTTTTGAATACCTACTTTAAACCATAAGATTTTATTCAGGAATGTCCTGTTTTCCTCAAGCCAGCACAAAGTTTGTATAAAAGGATAAAGCATTAACCTTCTGAAGAGCCTGTGACTAATCCAACAGAAATTTGATTGTACATCCATGCCGAATTAATACAAATCTATGGTACTCTGATGATATTAATAATTAAATATCAGTGTTTGTTGAACTACAGCCCAAATGTATTTCCTCTGCAAAGTAGCTACTTCATTTTGTTGACAATAAATAAATGTTGGCCCTCTGCAGCCTCAGAGCTTATTTCTTATTCCAAAAAATTTCATTTTAATTTTCCATTTCTCTATTTTTTATTGAGAAGCAGAAACATATATTTACATGCAAAATTAAAGGACAAAGCACTAGTCTGGAAAGAAAGACTCTTTTTGTTAAATATACTAGTTGCCTAATGGAAAGCCTCTGATAATTTTTTTCACCTTCCTGTGCCTCAGTTTCCATGTCTTTACCACAGAGAATTTGCCTGCCCTACTTTGAGAGCTTTTATGGATGTCTTATTAGTTAATCTGAGTTAATATAATATCTGGGATATCTGGGGCTAGTAAGCAAAAAATAATGGTAATTTTTCGACCAAGTTACATATCTATAAGAGATAAAGGATACCTTTATTAGCAAAAGACTAAGAATTGTTTTATACTGCTTTTCATTTGTATTTAGGACAGGAGATATGACTTTTTTTAAACCCACTTTGGCTTGCATAATCCAATCTTTGGATTGTGTTCCTAACAAACATTAAAATATTTTTTTCTGAAATAAAGAATATCCTGACCCACTGTGCTCACTACTCTTGCTATGACAACAACAAGGAAGTAATTTTAAAGTCTGCAACAATTTGGGTTACAAAGTATGCATATGTATTAAAACCCCCAACTAAACCAGAAACCATCATCAGTTATACCCCACATCTTACAAACTGTGCTTATTACTTATGTTCTATAGCATGAGCCACACAGTATATCATGAGCCACAATCATTCAGTGATACTTTTCCATAAGCCTACAGAAAAGTCATAGCTCATAATGGCTCAGCTCAATGGTTTACTATAGAATAAGTTTA